AGCGCCATGTGGGACCCTCCTCCGGTGGCTGGGAAGCAGCTGGGGATCGAACCAGTGCCACAGAGGCCGCGGGCAGCTTTGCAACCCAGCGCTCAACCACTGCGCCACCAGGGAGGCCCAAGATGGAGTCTGTTTGACTCAAAGTGTGTTCTACGCGACCATCACTGTATGGAGGAATCTGGTCATGCTTGCGCTCCGCATGTCTTCTGTAGATTTAGCTCTACCTTCATGATTTCTTTTTTTAAAAAAAAATATTTATTTATGCATACAAGAGCTAGGGTACAGGCCAGAGATGCGGGGTGGGTGAGAGGATCCACCAGAGACAGAGTGGGGAACAGAATAGGTGGATTGACAGAAATACACTGCTGAGGGGGGCAGTGGGCGAGGGCAGGAGAGGTCTGCTGCGCCATGTGGGCAGCTCCCTGGCCGGCTGGGGATCGAACTTGTGATGCAGAGGCTTTGGACAGCTTCATAGTGTGGTGATTAACCCCTGTGCCACCAGGGAGGCCCTACCTTCACGATTTCTTAAGTAGCAGAGGTTCAAGGTTTGTTAGGCAGGGTTAGAAAAAAAAACACATTCCTAAGACTCTTTACCAAACCAACTCTAAAATACCAGACACCTACATATACAGCTTTTATTTTGTTCTTTCCCTTTGCCCATTTTTCCTCCATTTCCCTCTAATTCCCCAGCCTTTTCTCAGGTGGTAGTGGCCATAGGTCCAGAAGAAAGAACGAAGTACCTAATAAATCTAGGAGGCAGTGAATGTTCTGAGGAACTTCCTAAACTAAGGTGACATCATTGCTTCACCCCAGCATGACTTTTAAGATACCAAATGCCCTTGTTTCCATTCTAAAGGAAAATGCAAAGCAAGCACTGCTCCCTGGATTGGGTAGGGGCCCCCAAGCCTAGGCATCTCATTTCACCTGCTGGGATCATAGCTGCAGGGTCTCTGACCCTACCTCCGGGGTCGGGAGTGGCAGTGGGAAAAAGAGGAAGGGAGAGGAAAGGCCCAAACAGTCCTGCCCAGCCTCTGGTTGCTGATTCCTGTTAGATTCTGTTTCACCCAAGCTGTAGAATGGAGGGTAAGAGGAGGAGGAAAGAGTGAATAAAGTGCAAGAGAGGGAGGTGGAAGGCAGAGCAGGGAAACAGGTCCAGAAGGTCATGGAGGGGAGAGGGAAGAAGAGGAGGTGGAGGAGGAAAGAATAGGAGGTGCTGCTGTTACAGGGCAGGGAGGGGGGCACCCCAGACCCCGCAAACCTGCCTGCTCTAAATGGGTTCTGCCATCCGCCGCATCAACACAAAACATATGAGACTTTAATGGGAAGGAACTTTAATACAATTAGGAAACAATACAGGAAAGGCAAAGAATACAGTTTCTAAATCAAGCACCCAAAGTTACCCGACCCCTCGTGGGTAAAAGTCCACCCAAGGGGCCTCCCTGGTTGTGCAGGCAGGTGAGCACAGCAACCGGCCAGCGAGGGTCCCACATGGTGCAGCAGACCTCTCCTGTCTTGCCCGCTGCTCCCCTCAGCAGTGTATTTCAGTCAGTCTGCCTGTTCTGTTCCCCTCTCTGTCTCTGATGAATCCTCTCACCCTCCTGGGCATCTAGCCTGTACCCCGGCTCTTGTATAAATAAAAATAAATCTTTAAAAAAAAAAAAGTCGACCCAAGCAGAATTGGCCCAAAACAAGGCCCCAAAGCCTGCCACTAGTCTAAAGCATCTGCCAGTGGGGACCCACAGAAAAGGATCAGAAACAACCAGACAAGTCTGGAAGGAAAAGAGCAAAATCAACATCAAGATAAAAGCTGCCATGGTCACCTCCCCACGGGTCTCACCCACATCTGTGTCACCCAGTCCACGACCAAAAGACAAGCGCAGTTTCATCACATGTCTCTCGGCTCCATGTGCCTCCTCCAGGTCTCCTTCTGGCTCCATCCTGCTTCCTTCCTTCCTTCCTCAGTCTCCTCTGCAGCTTCTTCTCTCCCTGCTCAGCTCCACCCTCCCTTAGGTGGGGCAGGAAACCTGGAACCTCCCGCTTTCCTGGGGACCACCCTGCTGCAATTTCAACTGCTGGGATCATAGCCGCAGGGTCTCTGACCCTACCACCGGGTCGGGAGTGGCAGTAGGAAAAAAAGGAAGGGAGAGGAAAGGCCCAAACAGTCCTGCCCGGTCTCTGGTTGCTGATTCCTGTTAGACTCTGCTTCAAGCTGTAGAATGGAGGGTGAGAAGTGGAGGAAAGAGTGAATAAAGTACGAGAGAGGGAGGTGGAAGGCAGAGCAGGAAAGCAGGTTCAGAAGGTCATGGAGGGGAGTGGGGAGAAGAGGAGGTGGAGGGGGAAAGAAAAGGAGGTGCTGCTCCCCACTTTTCTCATTGATCTTCTCAACAAACCTGGAAAGAGGGTGTAATGATCATTGCTATTGTTCCTTTGTTGCCTCTGATGGGAAACAGACTTGTAAAGTTTAAGGAATTACTTAAGATCTCTCATAGCTAGCAAGATATGAAGGAAAGATCTGCATCCAGGTATTCTAAACCCACAGCCTGTTATTCCTATAAGAGATAAAAGAAGAAAACACAATCTAGATAAGGTAAAATGAGCAGTCTAAAGACATTTGGAGCTCTGTAGAAAGAGGGAAACAGTTAAAGCTAGCTCCCCTTCCCAAAGAAAGAAGTCAATAGTACAAGACCCTGGAGATCCTCTAGTCTAACTAGATTATTTTCAGAAGTTGCAACTCAAGCTAATAAAGGCTAAGGGTTTTCTCTTTAGTCAGAGGAGTGACTGTCCTCCCAAGTACTTTCTTCACCGACACGCATTCAAAGGGTTGGGATGGGGAGAGGGGTGGGAACCGGTAGCCAGGCAAAAGGGGGAGGAGTTGGGACCCTCTTGCAGTTGTCCCCAAGAGTTCATCTCAAGTGTGATGGCACCAGGAGTTTCTCCTCCGCCTCCTGGGTGGGTGTCAGGGGAGGCTCTGGGGTGAATGCCCGAGGGCTCATTCAGTGACAGGGGTTCAGACGAAGCTCCCGGTCTGGCTGGAGCGAACTGCTTGTGTTGGAAGCAGGTCCCAGGGCAGGCATTCCACACCAGCGGTCATAGCATTCTGCATTCTTGGAAGGGACCATCACTTAACAGGAACGCGGATGGCTTTGTTATGTCTTATCTCCCAATCGGCAGTTGGAGGGTTTCCTTCCTTTTGCAGGTGCTCTCATTTGCTTCATTATTTGTTTATTAGAAAATCGTGTGGCCTTCCAAAGTCATTCTTATGCTAAGGAAGGTCGAATGTGATAACATATTTGTGTTGGCTGCGAGTGAGGACATAGCAAATACCGAAAGTCACATAATGGAGAGTGTAACTGAAAGTCGTGTTTCTCGTGTAAACAAACATTCCCTGCCTCCCACAGTGAAGTATGACAGTTTCCAAGGGACAGAGAAAAGCCTCGTACTACAAATCTGGTTGCTTGAATACTGTGCAAGTGGTGGCAGGGACCCTTTTGAAGGTTTAATTCAGGACCACTAAAGGATCAGATTAGCGATTTTCAAGTTAAAAGGCCTGAGTAAGTCTCGGCTGGACCAAGCTTTCGACTGGGAAGTAAGTTTTCCATTCATTGACATCCCTGAAGCTTAGAGGGGAAACAAGTGTGGTGGGCTGGAGAAGAACCTCCCTTGCTTGCCCTCGTCTCAAGAAAAGAAAGGGACGAGAAAGCAGACCAAAAAGAAACCAGGCAACCTCTCTGCCAAAGCACTATTTTTTTTTTTTTAAAGTTTTTTTTTTTTTAAAGATTTATTGATTGATTGATTGATACATACATACATACAAGCACTGGGTACAGTCAGAAGCGCGGGAGGGCGAGAGAATTCACCAGAGCCAGAGCGGGGAGCAGAGCAGGCAGAAGGACCGAAGTACACTGCTGAGGGGAGCAGCGGGCAGCAGGAGAGGTCTGCACGCCATGTGGGATCCTCCTCCGGTGGCCAGGGAGCAGCCGGGGATCGAACCGGCGCTGCAGAGGCCGCGGGCAGCTTCGCAACCCAGCGCTCAACCGCTGCGCCACCGGGGAGGCCCCCAAAGCACTATTAAGGTGACTTTTTTATTTCTTACGCTCTCTAAGCAATAAGTAGACAGTAAGAGCCTACATTTCTGTGTAATTATAGATCTTAACATTTCTAGACTCCAAAAATCTCAGGGTGAACACTGATTTTTTATTGTTGTTTCACCATGACATTTTAAAAAGTAAAAATTTGGACTAAATTACTGATATATGAAAATACCCCATTCTTGAAATTCCAGCCTTTTATCTATTGCTCCAGTACATTAAGAGTCATACACATGAGGACTGTTTTTTTTTTATAAAAGCTGACCACTAAATCAACTTAAGATATTAGCAAGGGTCATATAAAAGAGACAACAACAAAATCAACAATGGCAAAAAAAAAAAAAAAAAAAAAAAACACAAGGAGACACGAAAGAAAGGAAAGGGGTAAAATTTGTAAGTGGGAAGGTGGTCTGGCCAAGGTCTCAACTACAAATTATTTTTAAGCTTCCTAGATGCCAACAAAAAAAGGAAAAAAATGAACTACTTCCCCACTGACAATGTCCCTGGGCTACTGACAAACCAGCTGATCTGATTCAGAGAAGCAATGATGCTTGTGATAGTAAGACCTCAAAGAAACTTCTCAGAAGCTTCAAAAAAGTGAGTAACAAGTCAAGTCTTGAGGCCATTTACTCATATGTCAAATCTTGACAAGCCCCGAGTAAATGCCAGGCATTGTGGGGAGCTGTGGATATAAAGTGAGCATGCAGATTGGTCCTGCCCTAGTGCAGTTTAATCTCTAGTGGGAGAGAAGGACATTTACCAAGTCCTCACAAAAGTTAACTGTACAAATCCACCTCTGGCCAAGGCCACAGGGAGGGAGACAACACTGGGAGGTCATCTGCTGGAGAGACTATGACTCAACAATGTCCTTAGGGTGAATGTGTCACTTGGTTTCCTGGGACCAATGTCCGACACTGGTGAGTTTCACCAATGTCTCACCACCTATATCACTTTGAGAGAAAAACCCAGAAAGTTTATATTATGCAAGCCGCAAATTAACTAGTATCAATGAAAGGCTTTGAAAATTACAAAGCACTATGTAAACACGAGGTATTTGAATTAGAAGGTAAAAAATCTGTTCTCTCTACCTAATGAAGGAGTAATCTTAATAAGAATATTATATAATTCTGATTTGCTATAATCATACAATTTTATCATTATAATTTGATAATTCTGAATAGTAGAATAATTGTATAAATGTTACCTATATGGTGCAAAACAGCTTCAGTTTTCAATCACCTTGACCATAGATTAGAAAGTATGCCAATAATATTGGCTAAAATACGGTTATAAAATATATCAACTTCTGGGCCTCCCCGGTGGCGCAGTGGTTGAGCACTGGGTTGCGAAGCTGCCTGTGGCCTCTGAGGTGCCGGTTCAATCCCCGGCTGCTCCCCGGCCACCGGAGGAGGGTCCCGCACAGCGCGCAGACCTCTCCTGCCGCCCGCTGCTCCCCTCAGCAGTGTCCTTTGGTCCTTCTGCCTGCTCTGCTCCCCGCTCTGGCTCTGGTGAATTCTCTCACCCTCCCGCGCTTCTGACTGTGCCCAGTGCTTGGATGCATAAATGAATGAATGAATGAATAAATAAATAAAAAAGTAAATAAAATATCAACTTCTGACTTGTTTAATTGTAAACTGATACACCAATTCAGTAGGTTTCTGTTTTTGTTATTCTAATGAATCTTACATGATCAAAAATGGTTCCTACAATAGAAAAGAGAACCAATTTATATGGTTTTACCATAAACATTATTTGAACAAAATAAATATTTTTTTGTCATTCCATCTTTCACTTACTAAAAATGACCTGCCTTTTCTTAAATCATCTAAAAAATGAAATGATATATTTTTAGTTTTTTAGACACTACTTAATTTATCATAATTGATAATTAATTAGAATTAAAATCATAATTACTATAAATTAATTCATATTACTTAATTTGCACCCATGAAGCAGGCTTAGAAGGCTATCTGGCAAGGTCAAATAGCTGGTTGGTGAGCAAGAAAGGATGCAGTCACCTGATGTTTAGGATGAGTGTACAAATTACCTGCAAAACAACCTGGAAAGGATATTTGACAGGAAAAAGTGCGCACTCCCGTGACAACAGCAAAGGAAGGTAGCTGGGAGACTCTCCTACTACACACTTCACTGAAGACTAGTAAGAAGTCCGTGAGTTAAGAATTTTTACAGAGAAATAATACTGGGGATTTGGTTTTTGCAGGCTGCTGGCTTTCGTGCTTGGTGGATTATGGCGCCTTTGGCCAGGGGAACTCCACAAAGTGAGCAAGCACAGGTGATGCAATTTCGAGCTGCCCTTCTCGGTGATAATGCCTGACTTCACCTCTGCTCCAGGGAAAACAGCCCGTGACTCCTCGCATCATGTCTTTGCCTTTCCAGTGCAACTCCCGGGGAGAACTTCACAGTGATCCAGACGCAAGTGGGGGACACTCCTCTGCATTTAGATGGTCTGACTGATGGCGTTTTGACTTGATGTCGGTGCGAAAACACTATGCGTGATTCAGCAGAAACCACGCTTGCAGCTCCCAGATAGCATGCGACAGGCACACTGCGGAACTGGGTGATGTGATGCCAGGGTTTTCAACTTTAGTTATTTCCAACTTATCAGGATGCAGCCCCATTATAAGCTGAGGACCTCTGTACCCTCTGTATGACTACAAAGGCCATATTTAAAATGTTTTCCCTTTCCTGACCATTAAAGGGAAGGAGTGGATTTAAAAATAAAAAATTGAAAAGAGAATCTTAGCACCATGAAACTAATCACCAGTAATTTCCCTGTTCAATAAGGGTACTTATCCGCTCGCTTGAGCCTTTCATATTTATTTTATTTGTAAACACAACTAGAGGAGAAAAGACAAGATCACAAGAGAATGGGAAACCTTCGATGAAACGCCAGTGGCATCTGCTTCGTCCTCCAGATACGCTGTGAATTCAACAGACATTTCAAATTGGAGGTAGGCAAGTGGGAACCGTCCACACTGACAGAGGCTGGGCTGGCCCAATACAGGGATTTCAGAGCTCAGTTATAGAAATTCCCAGAGTCACAAACTTCAGAGCTGTTAATTGTTTGTTTGCTTGTTTGTTTAACAAGTAATGAAAGGTCAAGGTCTAGAGGGAGGGTTTGGGGATTTGCTTTCCTTTCTATTGATTCTACTAGTCACCAAATATTTCCTTTTTAATGATGCACAAGGCACTAAGATAGATGCTAAAGGAAATCTGTAGAACCCTAATACAGTGTCTGTCCTCACGAAGGAAGGAAGTCTTGCACTCAAACATCTTGGAGCCTCAAAAGGGAGAGTCCTGGGGTCCTCTGATGAACAGTCCTTCTCAAACATAACCCTATTCTAGCTAATCTCAAGTAATAATCATTACAGACACATGGTGTGATCTCTGTCCTCTCTCCTTTTATTGTTCTAGGTGAACCTAAAGAATTCTTGGGCTACCCTTGATAAAGTTTATAGAAGAAATGGAAGTTTCTACACTGGGACCTCAAAGGAGGGAGGGGAAAGCCTTGTTATATTTCCCTTTAACAGAGGTTAAGGGTATGGATTCCAAAGTGAATCAAACCTGAACTTGAATCCCTTTTCAGTTACTTTCTGACTGTAAATTTGGGTCAGCTGTTTAATATTTTTTCACTAATTAGACTAATCCCTAACAGTTCACCCTGCCTTTGTGTTTTATGTTTATTGTGATCTATATAACACACAAAAAATACATAAAGTCTTTACTATAGTAAAAAAAAATGTAATGACTAATTACATTTCCTCACCTCCCCAAGATTTCTCCTCCATAAAATGCAAATCATAATTGGAGTAGATTGTGGAGCAGAAACACAATAGAGATAAACCTGGCAGAGACTGAGCAGAGAGTATGTCAATGTTAGGGTCCCTAGCAATGTGGTCGTTATCCCCATTTGCCAGTGTAGCCTCCACTCACTCGCCTCACTTGCAAGGCACACAGAGGGGGTTGCTCCGTGGTATAAGTGTAGCCTATGGCCCCTACTTACCCCTGTTCTTGACTCCTTCCTAGAAGCCAGTCTTTTCACAAGCGCCAGTCAATGCAATTTTGGAACAGGCCTGGGAAGTTACTGCTTTTCTTCCAAGAATCCTGATACTCCACGTAGCCCCTACCCTCTCTACCACTGTGTTCTAACTGAAAACACCCTTTTCGAGTCTCTGTGTCAAGAATGATTTTTGAGAATACATTGTTAAATTGGTTTCCAGATGATAAGGCACTTTCACATCTGCAGTTTTGTGTGATTCCTACATCGATCTCTGAAGCAGGGACTTCTCCCTCGAATGTGCACAGAGATGTCATGACTTGCCCAAATTCACACTGTTGGCAAACAGCAGAGCAGGAATTAAACACGGTGACCCCAAACTGAGCTTTTCTGGAACCGCTTGAGGGGTCAGAGATGGACTTCTCAGGTTCTTCATCTGCAGGAGGGGCTGCTACAAGCAAATGCTCTAACAGCAAAGCTATTAGAGTCCAGGTGTTGCCAGCTCTGCTAATAAAACAGACCTATTTCTCTCCAGCAAGGCATCTCAGCACAAGTACACTTCGTTGTCCCCTCCACCCCAGGCCCCATCCACATGGAATGCCTGGAAGAGCCAAATAAACAGATTTAACTGACTTACATGTTTTCCTTGCCAAACATTATAAAATGAAGTAATGGGTAACCTGCATTAATTCTGCTGGACTCTCAGACTTTCCTTTCTCCCCCTGAGGAATGGAAAATTATTTGAACGAGATGGGAAACCAGCTTTTCCTCTCTCTTTCAAAACTTCTCAAAACACATTACTATGCTACTGGAAGCCATTCAATTCAACTAAGTCATTAAGTTAAATCATCTGCACACATTTTCTCAGTAAGATGAGTTTGCATGGTGGACTGATTTCATAGAACAGTTGCATGTAAACATCTCCAGGGAAAACCAGATGTTGGTGATACATCAGTACCTAGTGAGTCCTACAAAGAGTGTGACACTGGTTCTGGACATCATCTTTCCAGGAATCCTGTAACCCAGAGTAGAACTTCACTCTGGAGCCCAGCTGGTGGGTAGTTTTTCCCTTCCTCCAGAAATGCTCCTCGCTCAGGATGCTGCAGTACTCAGAGCAAAGCAGGCAGGCCAGGCCACCCAGAGTTCCCAGCTAAGATCTCTGGAAATTTGAGTCCTGAAATTCAACAGAGACCACAAAAGACCCCTAAGGGTATGGGAGAATAAAACCCAAGGACCCACTGGTTGTTCCAATACATCGCTCAGGGAGGTGGGCCAAAGGAACAGAGGGCCCACCGGGGACAAAGGCCTGTTAGCTCTGGTGCCCATGATGCTGAAGGCACAGGCCTGGGGAAACTTCCAAACAAAAGGAAGAAAGGAAGGGAGGAAGATGTGGCTACAATAACTCTGGCCCAGAAGAACTCACTAATGAAGTTACTTAATTAATTATTACATTTTTTTTTACTATAGTAAAGACTTTATGTATTTTTTTTGTGTTATATAGATCACAATAAACATAAAACACAAAGGCAGGGTGAACTGTTAGGGATTAGTCTAATTAGTGAAAAAACATTAAACAGCTGACCCTGTAAATATTCACTTTAAAATTTAAAACTTAAAAAACATGTTACAAATGTCTTCCAGGGTCTGCCAGGCTAGAACAATAGGCCACCAATATAGCATTCCTTTACCACTGTTTGCAATTGACTGGAGCCGCACAGCATTTTCAATAAAGACTGGATGGCCTCCGTATCTGGAAGCAATAAGCAATGTGTTAAGGTTTAAGGTACGGTACGAACTCAGATGCCCTGGGAACCAAAACAGGCTCCCAGAATATTTCAGTGATGTCAAGACTTTTTCAGGGGTGGCAATTTCTACCTTTCCACTAAAGACATGGAACCGACATGTTTTAAAGGTTGACTATCCATTATTAGCATAAAAAAGAAACCAATAAAGTTAACAAATGTATAGGTCTAGTGTTGTGGGTGAGAGATATAGAACCCATCAGCTCTGCCGTGAGCATCTTCCAACAATAATAAAGCAAATCTGGGGCCTCCCTGGTGGCGCAGAGGTTAAAGTTTCAGTGCGATCGAGCTATCGCCACTAGCAAGAGTTCGACCCCCTGCCCGGGAGGCTCACCCACATGGCGTAGCAGACCTCTCCTGTCTTGCCTGCTGTTCCCCTCAGCAGTGTAGTTCAGTAGATCCACCTGTTCTGCTCCCCACTCTGTGGTGAATCCTCTCACCCCCCACACATCTGGCCTATACCCCAGTTCTTATATGCATAAATAAATAAAAATGAATCTTTTAAAAAATCATAATAGCAAATTTAAGATGAGAAGATGTTATCCCTCCACCCCCAACTGGTTTCCAGTTCCCAACTCATATCTGCAGGCCACTGAAAGCAGATCAGTGTTGCTCCTGCTGGAATTCCTCTCTATAACTGTAAATAGTAAGACTGTTTCTGCTTGGTGAGGCAATATGATTCTCTCCCCACCATTCCTTGCACTTCTTGTAGAGATTCCAATAAATCAGAGAAAGCCCTGAAAAGAAATTGCAACACAGATAACAATATGCCTAAGAAAATAAAGCCAACAAATTGTGACCGTGCAAAGAAGCAGAGAGGATCCAAAAGAACAAAGGAGACTCTTCTGTGTAAAAAAGTTAAATTTTGATTTATCTTTCCACAGAGACTCACCCCACTACAGCCACTTTGCCTGGCTATCCATCACATGATTGCAAACCCCTGTGACTTGTCTAAATGCTGAGATTCAAATGAATTTTGTTGCGCAAGAAAAGAAGCCATTCGGGCCTCCCCAGTGGTGCAGCAGTTGAGCACTGGGTTGAGAAGCTGCCCAAGCCTCCGCGGCACCGGTTCAATCCCCAGCTGCTCCCCGGCCACCGGAGGAGGGTGCTGCATGGCGTGCAGACCTCTGCTGCCTCCCGCTGCTCCCCTCAGCAGTGTACTTCTGTCCTTCTGCCTGCTCTGCTCCCCACTCTGCCTCTGGTGTATTCTCTCACCCTCCCGTGCTTCTGACTGTACCCAGTGCTTGTATAAATAAATTAATTTAAAAAAAAGAAAAGAATACTAGAATATCTCTTGAAAAAAAAAAAAGAAGCCATTCATACATGTAGAATTTAAGGGAGAAGTGGATACCCAGAGAAAGTCACAATTTTAACTCAAGATCAAGGCATCTGACAACTAAAATAATAATAATTGCTTACCTTTAAGTCCAGAGTCTATAACAATAATGAAATGTAAAAGAATGGGAGGGGTAGGTGGAGGGAAAATAGGGGGAGGTAGAAATGGTTTATGAGATTTGACACCGTGCCAAGGTATTTAAAACACCATGTTTCAATATGTTTAGCTACCATGGAGGCAAATATAAACTTCCTGACTATTCTTATCATCATTTTACAGATGACGACACTGAGACGCAGAAGGTGGAGGTAACTTGCCTACAGAGATCATCCTAAGAAACGGTTTCCTTTCCCTTTAAAAAGGCTTTTCTCCCACTTTCCTGTTATCTGACTCCTTCCATCACCCACTGCTACTGTAATAAATTATCCTTTCTCAAAACGTGCATGTTGTCTTTGACATGTCTATAGCAATTCTCCTTGATGCTTCCCTCCCTCCCCATTTCTGAAATGATGTCATTTGACTCTCCCCCTCCCCACTGCTCCAGCTGCTCCTTCCTGGTGTGCCATGCACCATGATCCCAACCTTGGCTTGTGCCCAAGCGCAGTCTTCCACCCTCCTGTCTCTATATTTTGGTTCTCTTGCAAGGCCTTGGCTGAGACAGAAATAACAAAGGCAAGGACCAGGGGAAGAGGTCTGGACGAGACATCAAAGCCTGGTCTGTGAGGCCAAAGAGAAGTCAGGGGCCTGGCTAGAGAGCACACTGGAAAGCTGGGAGAGTGTGTGCGTGAACACCACTGCTGCCCGGCTCTTCCTAAGCGGCCTGCAGGAAACACCTGAGAAGCGTCTTTGTAAAAGGAAGGACAAGCATGAAAGAGGGGAAAAGAGGAAGGAAGATGGTAGGGAAGGCAGGCAGAGAGGGGCTGGAAGGAAGTACAGGGAGGGAGGAAAGAGGGAAAGTTTTCCAGGTCCACCCCTGGAGAGGAATCACTGGAAAGGCCTGGGAATCTGCATTGTTGCCAGCTAAGTTTGAGTCTCAGTGCAAGTGGGAGCATGGAGTTCCAGAGTCATCAGACAAATCTGAGATCAAAGCTTGAGGAAATTAGCAAGGAGACAAAGTATTAGAAACATAACGGGCTGGGCCTGTGATCTTCCAGGGTACTGATGGCTCAGTTCACTCCTTTTGAAGGCTCAGGGCCCTGGGGTCCTGACAGGACTTGATTTATGTTCCCACCCACTTCCACGGTTGTCAGCTTGGGTGGTGCACGAGCTCTAAGCGGAAGCCACGGTAGAAGGCTGCCTCTCGTGAGGACAAGGATGTCACAACAGTTTTCCAAGCTCCGGGCCAACGCCCCTCCCAGGCCACCAGATGTTGCAACTGGACTCGTGA